TCGAGTGGCTCAAGAATCTCCACAGGTTCAAGCAATCACAAAGTAGATAAGGAAGTCCTCTGTGATTGTGAACTTCCTTCAAGAATTCGTACCTCCAAGACCAAAGATAACCCTGGAAAGAAATTCCGAGTGTGGCCCTAACTCATTGGTAAATACCTAATTGATTTTATTTGTCAAATTGCATCATTTTATCTCTTCTTACCTTCTATGTTGTTGATTTTATTACTACAGAAACCAGGGAAAAAGTGTAAATTTTGGAATGGATTGATGAAGAACCTGAGAATATGATGCCCATTGCAGAAGATACTCTTTCAGATTTGCAGATTATCTTATACAAGTTTTAGAGGATGTGGCATCTGTTAGAGAAGAAGTGAAAACAGTTGAAAGAGTATGATTTGTGTACTGATTCTGCTGGTCATTGTTAAGGTATTGTTTTGGGGTTGAAGATATGCTTCTGGAGGTTTTAGGGGATTTTGATGTAATAGACTTGTTGTGTAATTCTTATTTATGTAATGTATGTTGATGTACTTTATGTTTATGTAATGGTAAAGTTTATTGCTATCATGTATGGATGTTGATGTAATTAATTCAGTCAAATGAGGTAAAACAAGACAATTACAGGAATATTTTTTTTATAGACAATTGAATGTAAAGACAAATAAAAGGGCTGACAAAGGCATCAAGCCATTTAATAATTACAAAAGATAAGCCCACCAGGAGGGGTAATACAATAATTTAGTTCAAAAGACAAGTACATCAAAAGTAAACAACTAGTAGGGGTAATATAGTAATTAAGTTCAAAAGATTACCCCACAGTACATCAAAATATATATATATATATATATATATATATATATATCACATGCATTACCCCCACTACACAAAACCTAATTACTCTAAGGTCACAGGTTTGTCTTGGCTGCATCCAGTTCCATCCTTGAGTTTAACATTTTTCTGAAGACCAATTTCTGTGATTCTTTCTGAAAACTTTCTCACCCTACCAGCATCATTCAAAGGAACCTTCTTCATATGACTTCTCTTCACAGGAGCCTTCTTCACAGGAGTTCTCTTGACAGGAGCTGGAGTTGATTGACTTGGACCTGCTGTGCTTGAAGCTGGAGTTGATTGACTTGGACCTATTGTGCTTGGAGCTGGAGTTGGCTTACTTGGGCATGTGGCTTTGTTGTGGCCAGTTTGGTGGCAAATGGTACATCTTAGAGGAATGTCTGCCCTTGACACAGTATGCCTTGTGTGGGCCACTTAGCTCTCATTCTGCCTGATCTCTTTTCCTTTTGACACATGGCCCGCCAGGTAACCTCCTCTTTAATGGAGGCAAAATAGTATGAAGTCCTTCAACATGTGGCCACTCAGAGTTGTCATTGAGTGGGTGGATGTTATACTTATAGCTATTAAGGAAAGAGGCTTTAGTATAGGACTTTGATACAAAAGCCTCCACATCTAGGTTCAATGATGAAATTGCTGATATCGCATGTACACATGGAATGCCTGTGAGTTGCCAGCTTCTGCATCCACATGCCCTCTGATTCAGATCAACAGCATACCTCTCATTTCCTGAGAACACTTCAAATTCTTTGTAGCCACTCACATAAGGTACCCAAAATCTGTCAATATACAAGAAGATAGTCAGTTACCTTCATAAACCAATGTATAACTAATGAAATTGTTACTAACCTTTGCAATTCTTTCAAATCCTCTATCTCCATTATGGTACTTGGGCCTATGTCCAAATCCCAACTCAAACCATTTTGCTTCTGCATCCATAACCTCTGTATTGCCCCAACATCTTATGTCCTCGAACATTGTTATCAATGGTTTCCTTCACAGCACAAAATGGTTTAAAGTATTGTTCTCCTTTAATTTTTTTGTGGAAATTAGCTAGAATGTGTCTAGCACATAATCTATGCTCCACATCAGGAAGTCTTTCCTTCACAGCTTCAAATAATCCCTGATTCAAACAATTAAATGATTAGTTAATTAAATGATCAAAACAATTAAAGTTAATTGAAAAAAATAGAATGATTACCTTGTGGCCATCTGAGGGGATTGTAATGTCATGACCATTCCCCCCCTCCAATGTCTTCCATCAGGTTGTCCAAAAACCATTTCCATGTCCTTTTGTTCTCAACATTGACTACTGCCCAAGCCAAGGGATATATGTTATTATTAGCATCTCTACCCACTGCTGATAGGAGCTCCCCTCTACAAACACCCTTAAGAAAGCAACCATCAACCCCAATTACCTTTCTGCATCCATCTAACTACCCATCCACAACACCTTTAAAGCTAACATAAAACCTATCAAACACCACAGTATTATCAGGTTGTGGCTCCAAGAACACCTCAACATGTGAACCTGGATTAGCCCTTTTGATTTCAGGTGCATAATCCCACAATCTTGCATAATGTTCTTTCAAAACTTCCCTCAACTTCAGACAATGCTAACTTTTTTGCATTCCTACACTGCCCAAACACTCACATTAATGTTGTATCTCTTAGATACTAGGGCTTTCATTTTCCTCAAACTCAGTTTAGGACTCTCCAAAACATCATCCACAAATTGTTTCCCTATCCACTTATATGTTACAATTGACCCAAGTTTGAATGCCCTAGAGCACTTGTGCTCTGTTATAAGAGACTTAATCTGAAAAGTGTGTTCCTCTTTCATCTAGGAAGGCATACAATCTAAAAGGGCATGTTAGATTCTTTCCTTTACAACATCTAACTTGCAACCTACTATTGTCATTCTTTTCATACCACAGATCATAACCATTTGCTACAGCATAGCAACTAAGAGAGTATTTAAGTTCAGCAGTAGTAGAGTATTTCATACCTAATCGAGGCTTCATCTCATTCCATTCCTGAGTATGATCATGTCTTGGGTAGATAGGTCGTATTGCATTATGATCTTCTTGAACCAAGTCATCATTCTGTATTGGACAAAGTTTGTTGAGGAAATGATCATTGAAGTTTCTTTTGAGAGATATAACTTCATCGTCCTCTACATGTTCAGCTTTCAGACCATCTTCTAAAATGGAGTCAACATCATCAATAGAAACCAAATCTTCATCTTCAAGGACTGCTTCTTCCTCCTGAATCCAATCAAACAAAGGTTCATGATAATGATCCACATACACATCCAATCTCTTCTTTTCATTCATATCTTCAAGAAACTCGTTAAAATCGCGGTCATTCTGAATAGCATGTAATCCCTCCGACAACCTCACTTCATGTGGACAGTAATACACATCTCTGCATCTTTCGTTAGTAAGCTTTTCAAGAAAGGGGATGAAATCAGGGAAGTTCATCTTGTTTACAGTCGTGTATGGCACAAAGGCTTTTACTCCATTAAAATACATCAATATGGTAGGTGTGAACACCCCATTATAGTGTACATCTACGATTGTATCTACATCTTCTGCCATTGTTGATGGTGATTGTGAGTCAAGAAATTTGAGGGATTATCGGGTGAGTGAATGGAGAAATAGCTGATTAAATGAGCCCTAATTGTCATTTCATTGTGGTGTAATTTAACAATATCCACGTAAGGTGACATGTGGATGCTACCTGGTTATTTCATTTCAAAAAAATAAAATAAAAATCGTATATAACGGGTAAACCGGCTATAGCCAATCAAAATGATTGCATAATTACAAAAAATCGGATATAAGGGTTTAATTTACAAAAAAAAAATAAGGACTAAATGTGTACATTTCAAAAAGTAACTTACCCTATCAAATATTATCCCAAAGGAAAATCTAGGAGGGAAAACATGGGTCTTTCAGATTATATAAAAACCGTTATCACCATACAAAAACTCCAAAACAAAATATATATAGATCTTCCAAAATTGCCCATTTTAATTGGACTATGACAAAACCAGAAAACCAAAAAAAAAAAAACACCACCACCATCTTCTGTACCAATATAAGGGAATAATAATATTTGCTACCACTATAATTTTCCATATAATAATAACAATAATATCACCCCAAAAAACTTCACTATCTATCCACCAACCAACAACTGCCACATGTTCATTCCTTCTGAACAGGTTTGTAAAGCATCGAGGTTCCTTGAAACACCATCAGCTGATACTTCCTTCTATACTGCTTCAACTGCATCATTCAATTCATACAAGTATAAATATAAATATAAATATAAATTATTATATTTAACAATAATACAACAGAGTAGACCTCTGAATCAGGCATTTTCTGAAACCCGAACTTATTAATCCATATGGATTCAGCCTCATCAGCGGCAGGAAGTGCTAGAATTTTCACATTTAGTGAAGCTAAAAGTTGTTCAATGCAAGAAAACAGAGCTTGAAAATAACCCTACATATACAAAACCAACATTTTAAATTAATAAATAAATATAATATAATATATATACTCATCAAATTTATGCTCTCTCACCAATCCTTGACATTCGCTACTTGTTGCCACTAAAGGTAATTCGGCTACTTCCTCCCCAAATATACGAAAAATGCCAGCAGATACCACCGTTGAGCTGCACATTTTTATAATTTTATAGATTTTTATAAAAAAACATATAAGTTTTTAAAAAATAATAAGAGATGGCTATGGTCTCACTTGACTGTCAATATAGCACAGTACATCCCTCCATAATCCTGTTGTTTTAAGCTTCTTCTGTAATTTGGAAAAAAAAAAGATTTTGATTAATAAAAAATATTCACTTAACTAAAAAACAAAATCAATGAATTACCCATAAACCATGTGGGGAATCAAATCGAGACGGCTGGTGGTGGAATCAGCAATTGGATCAAACCGATCCTATAATTAGTTATTAAAAAAAAAACTGTTAATAATAATTTATAAAAAAACTGTTAATATTAATTATGGATTAATTACTGACATGGAAAATGGCGACTGCTTTGGATAGCAAAACTCTTGTGTCATCAGAACCCATTTTGCCACATAAAAGCCTCCATCTGATGTCCAGGTCAGCACTGGGTTCTAGGCCTTGTTCGGCTTGCTTCTTTTTTATAGCACCCATGGAAGCTTCCGGAAGCATCTTTTGACCACCAGCCACTAGGCTCTCCAAAGATGCATGAATCTCATTGCAATTGGAACAACAAAACCATTCTCCTTTTGGCAATGCTTTAAGGTTGTCCATCTTATGATCCTTCAAGCACCCAACATGGTACTCTTTCTCACACTATAAAAAAAAAAAAAAAAAAAATCAATTTGTTATAATCTTTAGATAGAAAAACACCATATGAACAAATTATACAAGATAAAGAGTAAATTACATTTTTGGTCCCTAGCTATAGCTGATTATTTCAATTTCGTCCCCAAAATGTTTTCTAGTGTAATTTTGGTCCCTTACTTGAGGTTCTTGTAACATTTTTCGTCCTTGTTCAAAGTAAAATTACTACCCTTGCGACCAAAATTGGAAAAACTAGCTCTACTACAGGACCAAATAGTCATTTTACTTCGAATTGGGACCAAAAAACATTAACGTTACAAAGAACCTCAAATAAGGAGCAAAATTGCAAAATCAGCTATCCTAAGGGACTAAAAATAATCATTTTATTAGAACATAGACCAAAAACATTAAAAGAACCTCAAATAATGACCAAATTAGCAAGAGAAATACCAAATTTGAAAAAAAAAAGCTCTGCTCAATGACCAAAATATTCATTTTACTTAGAACAGGGACCAATAAGGTTACAAGAACCTCAAGTAAGGACCAAAATTGCAAAAATAAGCTATAATCAGCAACTAAAGTATTCATTTTACTTGGAACAGGGACCAAAAAGGTTACAAGAACCTCAGGTAAGGACCAAAATCGCAAGAGAATTGTTTTGGGGACCAAAACTGCAAGAAAATTGTTTTTGGGACCAAAAATGCAAAATTCAGCTACACCCGGGGACCAAAAATAGTCAATTTACTTGGAAAAGAGACCAAAAACTTTACAAGAACCTCAAATAAGAACCAAAACCACAAATTCAGTCATGAATTTGAAGTTGTTTCATATGGGTCAGGGACCATATTTGCAACAAAATGCAAACTTAAAGGTAATACTAAATTTGGACTGAACTTGCAATTTTGGTAAAACACAGGGACCAAAATAGTAATTTACTCTAGATAATAAACAATACCTGATCACATATGATGACAGTTCTAGGGCCGAAGCCAGTCTTGCTAAAATCATGTGCCCTGCATAAAACACAAGCAGGAGCTCCTTTTTTAGCAGGAACACCGGGTTCCCCAGGCTCAAAATTTTCAACAACACGAATGCAACGTTTTATTTCTTCAATTGAATCAATGGCTGAGATTCTTCCAGCAGCAACTGCATTTTCATTTCTTTCAACAAACTTTTCCTTTTGGAACATGTTTTGGCAGTATTTGCAGTACCATGTACCATTTGGAACAGCCTCCGAGATGCACTCTGCAAGTTGGAAAAATTCATAATTCGCAAATTCAACAAAATTAAATTTTTTTTTTAAGAAATAAAGAAAATCAGACCAGTGTGAAAGGCTCTTGGGCAATTATCACAGCATAAAAGTTCGCCTCCATCTGCACAGATGGAGCAGAGGTCATCGTTGTCATCTGCTGAGAATTTTCTGTGTTTTGAGAGTTTGATTGAGAGTTCGTGGAGAGAGATTCCGTTTGATGTGTATATGTGTAAGTAACTGTTGAAAAGAAAGTACATGTGGCGAGATTAGATTGGATGATTGATAGAATAGTGGAATATAGGAAAAGGGTAAAATGAGAAACTCACGGTTTGCGACGTGAAGCCCAACCAGCGTGAGCTTCAAACTGTGAGGGGCTGACCTGATTGTCAAGTAAAGGAAGTTAGTAAAGTGATTCCAAAGAGATAAAAGGGTAAAATGGTAAAAGGGTCATGTTTGATTGGCATGTAGGAATGAAATGAGTTGTTCCATTCCACGATGGAAAGAAGAAGAACTAGTGGCTAAGGAATGAAAATAGTGGATTCCATTCCATCTGATCAGGCAAAAGAAACATGTTTTGTTCATGGGAATCAACCATTCCATTCCTTCTCCAATTCCATCATCATACCAATTACCAAACACTACCTAAGATTTACAATTGAATTTGCACCACCAAATACCTCAGTGTTACAGCAATAGCAAAAGATTCCAGCCCCTTTTTTATAACCCTCCAATAGTTTCTGCCAACCACAAAAAGATGGATTATCAAGAAAGTTGAAATAATAAACATAGATAAAAAAATATATATATCCCATTTATTAAAATATAAATTACCTCCCCACGAGCAAAATAAGATAAGGCTGTTCCATCGGGTAACACATCTTCCTCAAATACCAGTTTGTGCATTCGCAAATCTCTACATATAAAAAATAAAAACAACATTATTTTATAAAGATCTAAAAAAAGAATACAAGAGAAAGTAAAAAAGATAAAACTACTAACTTTCTTGTTAGCCTTCCCTGGCCCTTGCTTCTTCCAGTACTAGTGATGGCTACTCGGGCAGTAGAATGTGGGGCAGATACTGGAGATGCTGACCTGAATATTTTGAGTATACAAATTATAGAATTGAACTACAAAGAAGAAACAGGGTACTTGGCTAAGTGCTACATTTGAGATACAGAAAATAAACAATCCAGTAAATATCTGTGTGCATTCATTAGAGAAGGAGGTTGAGAATACCTGTCTCTACTATTATTAGGTAGCTTAGGGCTACATTGGGTCTGGATCAGGGGAGGAGGTTGAGACTCTTTCAAATCCATGCAGGAATCACACAAAAGCATTGTTTTACCACTGCCTGATTCAGGTATGGACCCTATATGTCATCAAGAGATGAGGCGTTAAGAGATGATCCTATTTTACATGCAAGTGGTATACTCTAGATTACTAGAACATAAATGTATGACTCACCTTTGCAATTTAGACAAAATGTAGGTTTCTCTTCAGATGAACAACCTATTGCCTTTAGAATGGTTTCTTCCAATCCTTCCAATGGAGCAGTTTTACAAGTGTTCAGCACCTCCCTTAGGGTGTTGCCATTACCCAAGTAAATGTACTCTGGTGGCCGCTTATTTGCACTTCCAGCATGCAACTCAAACTGATTAGGAGTGACAACCTACAGTTTAAGATATTACTAATCAGCATTCAAGTATTTCTCTCAAGATATGAACAAGAAAATAGAAATGCATGTAACGAACTCACTTCCTTTCCACCGCATGATTCACAGAAACACAAAATTCCAGCTCCGTTGATTACACCTGGAAGACCTTTTTCTGAATTCCCTCTCACCTGATGAACAGTATGATTGATAAGCCGCGATGAAATGGCAACAAAATGACTAGAATTATGATAGAAGAGGCTTGATTTTCAGTTTATCAGATGTGAATGTTTACCTTTGCGCCACGAACATACCTAACTGGTAATCCTTCGAGCAAACCGGTTTCAAGAAGCTCCTTCAGCTTTGTTGGAAATCTCTTCAGCACAATCTTCTTTGACATTTTTATTTCTAACTTTTTGTCATTGTTGCCATTTGATGGAGTAACAATGGAACTAATCACATTCCCATCCTTCTCTGCAATTTTATCATCCTCGTTGCCGACTGACTTCCCCGGTTTCAAATCAGAACTAATTCTCGTCGACTTTACTGAGTCATCCATTGGCTCTGATTTTACTTCGTTCATTGGTTCAATAACCGCTCGACCGGGATCAACAACGTCACTTTTCGATTCTTCCTCATCCGTATTCGAAATCGTTTCGGTCACTAATTTCTCTGAACAAACCTCGATTTTCTCCTCTTTTCCTTTACCTAGATCGGCAGTTTTTGATTTCTTATTGATAGGTGAAGGCTCCGGCGACATCTGCGGCCTCCGAGCGCGCGTCCGACCACAGAATCCATAATTTTCCGACTGAGATTTCATAGCGAATGCAAATTCGCGTTTCAAACCAGGACGAATCGATGATAAAAACACGTATTCTTCACCGTCTGTTCCGTTTGCCATTGTAACAGAAAATAATTACAAATTTAAGAATAGAAATAGCAAATCTTTCGGAGAGATTTGTTTTACAGCTGTATTCACAGCGAAAGCCCTAAAATTTTCGATTAAAGGCCAAAAACACCGATTTCTATGGAAGAATCGATGAACACGAAATACTATTTTTGGTATTTGGGATTTTAGATTCGATTCTGAATTATAATTTTGTAAGGGTTTGTGTGTAGATAGAAAGGGGATTGAAGCTAGAGAGGAGAGAGATATTTAGAGGGATGCATGCTTGTTCATACACCCTTTGGGTGAAAATAGGAAGCCCCACCAGAAACTTCTTGCAAAGGACGATACTACCCTTTTATTTCTCTTTCAGTCCCTTGAGATTTGGTTTATTTGCTATTGTTTTACTATTAAGTTATGAGTTGCATCCTTAAATTTCACCTCGATCCAAGTTTAGTCCTCTGTTTTATAAATGATATCTTTTGTTTTTGGAGCATTTCTTTGTATAATCCAGAAAATTAACAAGTTAAATGAGTTAAGTAACGGATCAAAATAAGTTAAAGTAATTTAGAATGTAATTCATAAGTATATTTTTATTATTTGTTTTATGTCTTATTGGGTTTAAATCCATGGCCTTTAATCGTTGGGATAAACTTCAAATATTAGATAGACACGGTTAAACTTGTTTTGCAATTTCCATGTTATTGTTTTCATTTTGCAAATGGTTTTTTCAATCATTAGATAGTGTTAATCAATTTTATATAGACTCTGATTCAATTAGTTATCGGATATTCGAAATTATACTCATATAACTATCAAAATGTATGTCATTATATCTGTCATTATATTATTTATATTATGGACATAATAGTTAGATAGTAATATGAAAGGAAGTTGGGAGATATGTGTGTTGTCTCTAATTTTTATATGGAGGTTATGTATTTCGGCAAGGATTTTATTTGTATTTGACATTTTAATTGTTACATTTTTACTTTAAAATATTCCTTTTATTGTTATAATGTTAGGTGTTATTTGTTTTTTTGAAGCGAAAATTCGTAAAGTCTGCGGACCACCTCTGCAATCCTCTGTAGCAGAAGAGATGGAACAAACGACTGCAGCTCATAATAAGAAGCATGTTTGTTTTTTAACATTTGCAGACTGCTGCAGTAAACTGAAATTTAAATAAATTAATTTTATAAACTGAAAATAGTTTTCAACACCTAAATTTAAATAATTCTAGTCTTAAAACATTAAAAGAATATTAAAAAGAACATGTAAAAAAACAAAAATATAAAACTTTTTTTAAAAAAAAACTTATAAAAATATAAAAGAAGCTAACAGCTTTTATTCTAGAAAAAAACTAATTTTAAAAAACAAAAAAAGAAAATAATAATAAAAATTAAGAAAGAATTGCAAACGATGTCTACAAAGTTCGTAAAAAATTACACACGTTAAAAAAGATGAAATTGAAACTGGAAATATTATTAACAAAAATGGTAAAAAAATTTTAAAAAAATTAAAGTTTTTTTTTTTAAATCAAGTTAAAAAAATTGTGGAATCTATAATAAGAAATTGTATCAAATCCATAAATAAGAGTTTAAAAAAATCTAAGTTTTTTAAAAAAATAAAAGTTAAAAAAAAAAGTTATACCAAAATTCTAAAAAAAAAAAACACTTCAAAAAAATGAAAGCTGAAGAGGTTTGAAGAGGCAAGTCAAATGTTGCGCCACACGGCACACGCGCAGAGGTTTTGCAGTCTGAAGTCTTCCAAAAAACAAACTGCTGCGAGAGAGAAAGTGTTGTGCGTGTGCTGCGCCGCGCAGCAGAAAGTGGTTTGAAGATGTTTTTTTAAAAAAACAAACAGCACCTTAATGTCACCGTATTTTATTTTATTATATATACTGTTGGCCAAAAAAACCTCAAATGTTATGGCCTTATATTATTATTTTTTCACATTGAAACTAGCAATATGCAAGAATAAAAAAAAAGATAAATAATAATAATAATAATAATAATAATAATAATAATAATAATAATAATGCAACTAACCAATTTACTTCACTCTAAACATAATGTTGCAATCAAGTCTCACATTCTCACTCACTGGCCAATAAACCTAATAGCTACATAGCAATAAACAACTAATGTATCCAACATAAATCAAGTTACTAAATGGTACACATATGAAATTTGTTGGACCGACCTTTTATATCTAAAATGCTTATGATATGCACATTTAACCCGAATGATATTTAGGGTTATATTTGAACTTATTGATCATAGATTAATACCGAATATTCACAATGTTTGTGTAAGCTTAAGATTCCGTTTTAATCCTCTTCAACTATTTACAAAAATAAAAACAACACAAATGATACCTATTTTTGTTTCACCTTATATTATCAAAAAGTATAAATACAACCCTAAACAAAAGAAAACTCTTCATTCTAGTCCTCAAATAATAATCAAAAGAGGGGTCGAGTCCTTGTGGCAATGTGGCTTATGGAAAGAAGCAGTGGAGCCTAGGGGCACTTTAGTCGTTTAACAACTAAAGTGTGGAGTGGCCCTTTTTAACTAATTTAATTAATTTTTGTTTACTTTATTTATATCAAAGTATTCGAGAAGCGCGAAGGAGTGTCTCGCGCTTTACTGCCAATTTGTTGTCATCTCCACTGATGGGCCTCCACGTGGAATGTGAAGTGCGGTTTAGCCGTTTAGGTCTTTCCATTTTTTTTTTTAGAGTAATTTTTATTAGGTGCATAAAACGGTGTTGTCATATATTGAGAGTTTGGGTAGCCCGTGAAGGAATATGGGAGTTTGGGGAGCCTGTGTTTTCGTCCAGTACATTACTTTTTCGAAAACTTTGTAGAAAAAATTGGGCTCTCTTTAAAAAAAAATTGGGTTGTTCCTAACTTATAAATCAAACACAAAATAGCCCAAAGTTTTTAACTTTAAACCCCCACTGCTCAAATACTTTAATGGAAAAAAGAAAGTAGAACTAGAAGCCCATTTTTTGTTGCTTAAAAATCAGAAAGGGAAATACATGAAACACAAGACATCTCGTCCCTGCTCCCTTGCCTATTGTCTTTGTTGTCATCTTCTTCTTGCCAATTAGGTTTATCTAATTGGAAACTTATGGTTAATAGTTAGTCTCACAGCCCCAACAACCTCTCTCTCCATCTACGAGAACGAAACAAGTAAGATTTAAGCAAGTATTTTTGGGTTATTTCAATTATTTCTCAATTTCTTGAAAACTTGAAGAAACTATAAATTAGCAATTAGATTTGACTGATTGGGGTTAGCACTTAATTATTATTATTTTTTTAAGATTAAGTTTGTTGTTGAATCTTGAAGTTAGTTATTCCTTGTTGGAGAAGTTTGTAGTTGTTAAAATTAGAATTTGAAGTATAAGATGGAAATGAAATTGATGTTTTGTAGTTGTTAAAATTAGAATTTGAAGTATAAGATGGAAATGAAATTGATGTTTTGTGATTTCTCTATGAAATATATATTCTTTATAACTACAATCTGGACATTTTGTAATTATGAACTTACGGCTAATAGTTAGTTATTAATTGTTGTTGAAACTTGAAATCAAGTTTTTAGTTTTTTTTTTTAAACGACAAATTATTCTATTCCTAATCTAATCATAAATATCACTTATGTCTCCTAATGAGACTTGAACTCATGACCTCTCATTTGAGAGAGTCACTGCTTACCGCTAGGCCAAAGGCCATTTGGTATCAAGTTTTTAGTTGAATCGTTAAAATTAAATTTTTAGTTGAATTGTTGAAATCCTTTCAAAATGCATTTTTATGAAAAAACAATTAGATTTGGTAATAACCAACTTCATTAAAATAAGGCACAATTCACCAAGTGTAAGATTCAACTATTGCAATTGCAAATATATGTAGTCATTCTAAATTGAAAAAAATAGAACTCGTTTAACCCAGGCCCGTAGAACCGAACCCCTTTAACTCGAACTCGAAAAAAAATCATATTGTAACAACGTAAACTTTAAAACAATTTTTCATTTTTCAAACATAATAAAACTCATATAATATTATCAAAATCTCATATATCAAATGTCATCACAATAAAACATATCCCAGAATCTCAACACATAATCCTCTGTCAGTGTGTACAAATCATGCCGGCGCCTTCCCGCGATCCTCGCTGGTACCTGAAACACATATCACATAACACGGTAAGCATAAATGCTTAGTGAGTTCCCCAAAATACCACATACAACACATAAGCCACTCGAGGCTATAACTCGATATGACCCTCCGGTCAATGTGTCTCAGCGGGACCCTCCAGTCCCGTAGCTCGTTGGACCCTCCAGTCCGGTCTAGCTCGTTGGACCCTCTGGTCCGGTCTAAATCGTAGCACCCTCCGGTCCGGTCTATATAACACATATCATACATATATCACAATGCACATAAACTCAAACATACACATAACACATAAGACCCTCCGGTCTGCACATAGTTACCACTCTAGGTAATGTATAGTGAAAAGACTCACCTCGGGTAATCTCGGAAAGTCTCGAACTCGAATCACTGATCTAGCCTCCGCCTAATCACATAAAGTAATTATCTCTAATTAATACAGCTCTCAAAAGCTAGACTAGTCCCTCCCTATATTCTCTCAAAAGGGGAAAAGACCATTTTACCCCTCCAATGGTCCAATGTCCAAATGTTGACCAAACCCTAAAAGTCAACCCCAGTCAACGGTCCAACTTTGACCAGACTCGTTGAGTGCACTCGGGTAACTCGGCGAGTCCATGCGTGTCCTCTGAATCCTCCTAAGGCCTCACTCGACTCGTCGAGTTAACCTTTCTCTCGACGGGTTACCACTGATCACGAATCGTGGTGCAATACGATCCGACTCGTCGAGTCCTCTCATGGACTCGACGAGTTTCTTCCATGAGAATGCTCAAACGACCTTCTGAGGTCAGATATGTTTCTCTAACCTATAGATCTGACCTTCTAACACCCAAAATTCATGTAAAGGTCTGAACTTTACGTTCATGCATCGCACATATAGCTCTATTTGATGAAATAGCTCTAAAAATGGAGTCTTAGGCTCAATATTCTCATGTAACAGCATAAAGCTTGGTTGTTGGGACACTCTGGACCTCTCAAGGTCCAGATCTAAAGTCTATTCCTCAATGGGACTTCACATGCTCCATATTCCAACTAAAGAAGGGGTAAAGAAACCCTAGATTCAAGAGATCTACTATATACACGAAAATAGGCATGGATTCATACCTCAACAGCAACCTTTGGTGAAGTAATGGTAGGTCTGAGCT